GAGGCCGTCAGGACGTTGGGAGGACAAAAACAAACGAACGAAAAAAGACAAAGAGAGAGACTCAAAATAAAATCCCGTAAAATCCTTGAAAGCTACAGAACCGCATCTCTACGATATTCTCCTCGAATATCAGCTCACTGCTGAGGGCCACCACTCCCGTGTGGCAAGAACAATAGTCTAAAGATTAAAATATCTATATCTATATATCTATATTTATCTATATCTATATATATCTATATATATAGATATATATAGATATAGATATATATAGATATCTGTAGAATAGATATATAGATATAGATATATTAATAAAATAATAAAGTATTTCAAAAGCTTCAATAATACAACATATTGAAATTAAAGTGAAATTAAAGTAGCTGCTCTTCTTTTCATCAAAAGACACAAATGAGATTTGTTAAAACGAGTATTTTTGTTTCAGTAAAGGAAATAATGAGCGACAATTAGTCTGAAGAGTCTTTACAAAGAGAGCATAAATTACACGGCTAACAGGGGAGGTCAGCGCGTCATTATTCTAATAATCCCGAATACTCAAAAAGCAATGTGGCAAATAAAACGAAGAGCTAAACACACAGTCGTGTAATTGCACTTAAAAAGCTCATCGAAGTTCGCTGACATGCTGTGTGTGGGTTTGGAGAATACTGAGGAACATTTGTGGTCATGGGAAGCTGTGTCTGTGCTGTCAGTTTCTATCAAAAATAGAAACCCAGCCATGCTCGTAAAAGCTTTTAATATGAAACAAAGCCTTGTGAGACGAGCATTATTTTTCCAAAGGCCTCTGAACACGGACACATATGCACGCGCCTCTAATTTGCAAACTCTGAATAATAATAATAATAATAATAATAATAATAATAATAATAATAATAATAATAATAAATACATTTTAAAAACGTGTTTGATTTTATTACAAATATAATTTATTATTACAAAATAGTCTAACAATTTGGGATTTTTTTTATGGAAATATAGAAAATAAAAAGAAAGGTTGGAAATATGAATTTAAAAACTTACTAGCTTGTTTGCTGTAATGTAACATGACAAAGTTGGGGTGTTTTTTGGACAGATTAATAGATATATGAATGTTTAACGTTTGCTTACAAAGCAATAACTATTTATATTAAAAAAAAAACAATTTATAAAAACAAATTCATGAATTTTGCAGACGAATGTCGTCTTTTTGAATTATTTCACTCGTCTCAGGTTTTGTTCTGTCTGCAGCTTTGCTGAGATTAAGTTTTAGGTGAAAGTATGGCAGCAGAAATCAGAAGGTTTAGGCCTGTAACAGCAACTTTGAGAGCAACTTCAGTGAAACAAATAAATGAAAGATAATTAGAAGCGGGGGGAGAAACATTTTGTGGATACTTTCCCTCCGGTTTGAATTTAAAGTAAAATCAAATCGCTCGGAGCTGGAAGAGTGCAGCCGTGGACACATGTTTCCAGGCTGCCATGCTGCTTGCGCTAAATAGCCAAAGAGGGCCAAAACATGAATCTCGCCTACCGTCTCTGACTCTCCCATATCGATGGCTGAGCTGATGGCCGCTGACTCGCTCTTTCCTCTCCGGTCCATTTCTTCCACCACACCGCGAACGTCGCCTCCGGGGAGGCCATGGAAAAGCATCGTAGCCGCCGATGGGAGGATGTTATAACTGTTCTCTTCAGATCTGCAAGCCAAGATGTCCATGAGAGAGGAAACCTTCTGCAATTATGCCACTCAAAATTTTCGATCTTTTAACGTTTCCTTTCTTGCCGTGACAAGCGAGAAATCCAGATCAGGGAGGAAAAAATATGAGGGAAAAACTGGACACGTGTTCTCCACACTACGTCTCATCTGCCAATGGAAACCGTCATCCGAATGTCTCCAGCTCTCGTTATTAATAAGCTATGATTAATTCATTAAAAAGCGCACAAATTTGCCTTCTCTTAGTGGCATCTATTTTATCTCAGGCATGATAATATGTTTCACTGCCAACTGCTCTTTCTAGATTTTCTTTTCCATTTACGGTGACTAAACATACCAACTATAGAAGCTCCCGTTGCATGGATCGCAGCTCTGCTCCTCGCCGGGAGTAATATTTCAGGGTTTCGACAGTCTGCAAAATATTTCCTCTTTTCTTCTGCAGAACAGTTCGTAACTCAGTACAAATGGCAGTGCCAAAAGATGAGCAGCAGCTTTCTACTGCATCGCCCAGCCCGAAAAAGAATATTTCAAACAGAAAAAAACTGGACCTGGGTATTTGAGAAAGGCTTTTTCCTCCTTCTTAACAGTCCAAGTTGAGACTTACGGCAAAACTACTTTTGCTTTGCAGAAAGAAAAAAAATCATAAAAACAAAAACAAGCTCAAAAAAAGGAAAATAAAATCCTGCCGGCAATCTGGGAGAAGAAGCAGTTTTCCTTTACAGTAGTTTGTTTAGATAATGTTTTGTCTTTTGCCAAGGAGGCTGCATAGATGTGCGTAACAGCAGAAGAGGAGGAGTTGGCTTTACGTTGACTGATGATAGGCGAGTGTTAGCTAGCCCCCAAAACCGCCGTTCCTCCTTCTCAGGTCCGGTTGGACTCTCCGCTCCTTATCAACGGGACCCTGTTGCGTCACGACACACCATTTATGTTCATTGGCTGTTCCGCCGTCACCGAACTGTTTGGCCACTTTTACCGACCGGTCTAAAAACGCAGCAGTTCTCCCTTCGTTACACACGGAACACCGGCCAACCTCACACACACACACACACACACACACACACACACACACACACACACACACTCCTCCTCCTTCTGTCTGTCCGGAGCTGCTGCTTGAAAGGTCAGTTTTAAAGGAAAGAGAGCAGGAGAGAGTTTGAGCTGAGATGTTTGAGCTGTCTGTTTCTGGAGGTCTGCTTGGACCTTTGCTCGTCTGACGCACAGAGAGGGTTCCGCACAGCCCCACAGTGCTGCTGCTCCAGCTAACAGCCTCCTCATGACACCAAAGCGCTCTGCTTAATCTGCAGGGGTGGGTAGGAGCGCGTGAAGTGCGTGAAACAACCCATAAAGAGGAGCATAGATCTTATATTTGAATATTTTGGTCACAATTATTATAACAGAAAGTATATATATATATAGAAAAATATATATATACCCAAATAAAAAAAAA